GTAACCCCAAAGGTGCTTTTGCCCCGCAGTTCTGTGCAGAGGGTCCCCTGCTCAGTCAACCCAGGACCAGCAACTCTGCCTAGCCTGAAAGTGGATCACCGTCAGTGGATGGTGGGTGATCTGTGCCCACATTCTTCCTCTTGGGAGCAGTTCTGGTTCTCGTCCATCAATCCTTCTGCTCAGAGGGAGTTGTCCTGCACCCTTTGGGGAGATGCAGAAGGGTCATTCATGCTCTCTGAGCTTCCTTGTTTTCTTGCAGACGTTTCATTACCCAAACTAGGTAACATCATCAGTTCTAGAAGGGAGGAGGAGGAGGAAGGACTATGGGGTCCTTGGTGCTCTCTGAGCTGGGCAGTTTTCTTGCAGACGTTTCATTACCCAAACTAGATAACATTATCAGTGCTAGAAGAGAGTGGATTATGCGCAGGAGGAGGAGGAGGAAGGACGGACTGTGGGGTCCTTGGTGCTCTCTGAGCTTGTTTTCTTGCAGACGGTTCATTACCAAACTAGGTAACATCATCAGTTCTAGAAGGGAGGAGGAGGAGGAGGAGGAGGAGGGACTACGGGGTCCTTGGTGCTCTCTGAGCTTCCTTGTTTTCTTGCAGACGTTTCATTACCCAAACGAGGTAACATCATCAGTTCTAGAAGGGAGGAGGAAGAGAAGGAGGAGAAGGAGGAGGCAGCGGAAGGACTATGGGAGTGATGGCGAACCTTTTAGAGACCGAGTGCCCAAAGTGCAACACAAAACCCACCTATATATCGTCAGGTGCCGGGTGGGCGTGGCCCATTGGCTGGGCGTGGCCCATTGGCTGGGCGTGGCCCATTGGGAGGGCATGGCTTCAGTGGTAACGGCAGACTGGGCGGGACTAAAAAGTTCAATCAATCAATTCCAACTTTGCGAGATCTTTCTTTTTCCCTGCCAGAGCTAAAGTGAAAAGGTTTTATAAAACCCAGCTGAAGGCCTAGGACTGGGGCGACAGTCCGCGTGCCCACAGAGAGGCTGAGCTGGCATCTCTGGGCTGAGGGAGACATAGATGCCAGGCCCGAGGAAGAGACTGTGCTCATCACTGACCAACCCCAGGCACCCTCCCTCTGCACCCCTCAAGGAGAACTCCCCCCACTATCACCATTGCCCTTCTTCCCGGAGTGGGCCAGGCTATGGAGGAGCAAAACCACCTGATTGGGCAGACAAGGGGAGGGGGCCTGAGATGGAAGATGGAGAGAGGGAGGGAGAAAAAGAGAGCAGGGCTTCTCAACATACTGGCTGGGGAATTCTGGGAGTTGAAGTCCATCCACCTTCAAGTTGCAAAGAATGGGAAAAGGATGGATTGCAAAGATGAATGGAGGGAGGGAGGGAGAGAAGGAGATCAGAGCTTCTCAACTCCCAGCTGGGGCATGCTGGGAGTTGAAGTCCACCTACCTTCAAGTTGCCAAGTATGAGAAACAGATGGATGGATTGCAAAAATAAATGGAGGGAGGGAGGGAGGATGGGAGAGAAAAAGATCAGAGCTTGTCAACATGCTGGCTGGGGAATGCTGGGAGTTGAAGTCCACCCATTTTCAAGTGCCCAAGGATGAGAAACAACTAGTCTTTGGTATATGTACATAAATATATTGAACATTCAAACTTACTTTGCCATCATCCAGAAAGAAAAACACACACAAGATAGTCAGGAACACAAGAACATCCTGAGGTGAAATTAAACAAATTGCACAGCAGCTGTCCAGGTAGTCAGAGAGACCAACACAAACCTCTTTTATATATGTATATAAATATATTTAACATTCAACCTTATAAATCTTTGTCATCATCCAGAAAGAAAAAACGCAAGACAGTCAGGGACACAGGAAGATCCTGAGGTAAATTCAACAGCGAGCAGAACGCAGACAAGAAAAAAAGCGGGAAGAAAGGGAGACGCTCCCTTCACCCTTGCGGCAACCAATCACAGCGCAGAGCGCCTCCTGCATGAGCAGACCAGACAGTCAGGGACACGGGAAGATCCTGAGGTAAATGAAACAGCAGGCAGAACACAGAGAAGAAAAAAAGCGGGAGGGAAAGGGAAACGCCCCCTTTATAATTAAGGCAACCAATCACAGCGCAGATCGCCTCCTGCATGAGCACACCCGAGAGTCAGGGACACAGGAAGATCCTGAGGTAAATTAAACAGCAGGCAGAACAGAGAGAAGAAAAAAGGCGGGAGGGAAAGGGAAACGCCCCCTTTATAATTAAGGCAACCAATCACCGCGGAGAGCGCCTCCTGCATGAGCAGACAACGTCTGGAGACAGTCACCCCCATTTCAATGAGGGTGACTATTCATAGCACTGCTTCCTACACCGCATTAATCCATGGTTTGTTTTAACCATGGGTTCCGACCGTGGCTCGGGGGTCCCCTGCTTCCTGGGAGCCTCAGTTTGAAACTAAGGGAGCTAGAAGGCTCTAAACGGGTTAAATAATGTACGGCTGTGTTTTCCAGCCTTGGCGACTTCCGGTTGGGTGGACAAACAAGAGCGACAGGGATTCTTAGGGGACCGGAGGCTAAAACATACGAAGAAGGGTTGACAGAAAATGGATATGTCTAGTATGGTGAAAAGAACGGCCTATATACAGGAAATGTTTTAGATATTGAAAGGTGATTGACTTTAAGAAAATTATAAATGGATTAAAAAAAGAATGTTTTGGCTAAGAGCTAAAAGACTAGACTCGCAGTGTTTGTCAACCTTGACAATTTTAAGGCATGTGGACTTCAACTCCCAGAATTCCACAGCCAGCATTGCTGGCTGTGGAATTCTGGGAGTTGAAGTCCACATGCCTTAAAATTATCAAGGTTGACAAACACTGCGAGGATTAGGTTTATGAAAGGGGATGTTTTAAGATTAAATACATTTTTAACTATGGTAAAAAAAGAACGAAAAATTTTGGGAAATAAAATATGAGCTTATGGGAAATAGGGATTGTATAGGAAATGGGGATTTTAAGTAGTAGACTATCTTTTTACTTTATTCTTTTTCTTATTCTCATTCTTCTTTCTCTCTCTTTTTTTTAGTTTTATTTGTTCCTTAAGAACGGTAAAAGTATTCGGTTGGTTTACCTGAGAAAAAATAGATTTAAATATTTAAATAAAAATATTTAAATATTTAAATAAAAATATTCAAATATTTAAATAAAATATTTAAATATAATTAACTCTATACCATTTGCCCGAAATGGTACTGCAGTGTTTCTCAACCTTGACAATTTTAAGGCATGTGGACTTCAACTCCCAGAATTCCACAGCCAGAAATGCTGGCTGTGGAATTCTGGGAGTTGAAGTCCACATGCCTTAAAATTGTCAAGGTTGAGAAACACTAGATAGGGTGTCCTGCCTGAGCAGGGGGTTGGACTAGATGACCTCCAAGGTCCTTTCCAACTTTATTATTATTATTATTATTATTATTATTATTATTATTATTATTATTATTATTATTATTATTATTAATCACCGCACAGTCAGTCAAGACTGGATTTGGCATTTTTGTCTACCTATCGAGTCCTTACCAAGAACCTGGATAGGCAGATGTAGATATTTGATGGTACTATTATGATGATGATGATGATCATCGCACAGCCAGATGTTCAGACTGGATTTGGCATTTTGTCTACCTATCGAGTCCTTACCAAGGACCTGGGATAGGCAGACGTGGATGTTTGATGGTATTACAGATATCGTCGCAGGATGGAAGCAGTTCCTAGTAAGGCCGCCTTTTGCAATTGACTAATGGCAAATTTGTCAATGCCGATGGTATTCAAGTGGTGCTCCAGTTGTTTTGGGATTGCACCCAAGGCGCTTATTATTATTATTATTATTATTATTATTATTATTATTATTATTATTATATCCTAACCAGTAACATGTTTAGAACACTGTGGGAAACACAAATGTAAACAACTGTAAACATGGACAGATGATGAGACAACCAGAATGACTAGGTAGAAAAGGAATACTATATTGTTGTCATTATTATTTGTAGAACTATCAGAAAACTCTTCTACTTTATTATCATTTATCCAAACAATAAGAATTGTATTAACTTAAGGCTGGTAAAAGAGAACACTATGGGGAAAAGAGGAAATCGTGTCAAATTATCATATGGATTATACGTTGTAGAATTTATTTGTTTGTGAATGTTGGCTAAATCTAAACCCAGACAACGCACTGTCTACTGAATACTAAGGTGATTAGGTTAAAAATTAATAAAACATTTTTTTTAAAAAGAAGAATCAGGAGAATCAGCAGCAATCCAATATTGGAGGGGCTGCCACAAAGAAGAGGGTGTGTGTGTGTCCACTTATTCTCCAAAAGCACCAGAAGGCAGGACAAGAAACAACAGAAGGAAACTCACCAAGGAGAGAAGCAACCTAGAAGGAAGGAGAAACTTCCTAACAGTGAGGACAATTAATCGGTGGAACCACTGGCCACCAGAGGTTGTGGGCGCTCCATCATGGGAGGCTTTCAAGAAGGGACTGGACAGCCACTTGTCTGAAACGGCATAGGATCTCCTACTTGAGCATGGGGTTGGACTAGAAGACCTCCAAGGTCCCTTCCAACTCTGTGATTCTGTGTGTTCTATGACTTGAACTCCCAGCATTCCCTCGCTAGGAGAAAGCCAGATTGGTATACTAGTCAGGGGCATCCGACTAGGAACCGGGCAGGGGCTGTGAGTTCTAGTCCTTCCTTAGGCACTGTTAGAAGGAGGGATGTGGTTAAGAAAATGGATGGAGAACAGAGGCAGTTGCCTGATGCAGAGATAAATTTATTTCCAAGAACAGAATACACAGGCAGATAAATGGATGAGTGCCCCTCCCCTTGCTTGCTTGGGACCATCAGAGCGCCGCACAGCTAGTTCGGGCCCGCCCCGAGCGCTGCGCATCGGATCGTGCCCACCCCGTGACACAATCAATAAAGAAAACACCATAAGCCCTTTTAATGGCAGTGGCTTCGCTCTATTATTACAGGGTTTAGAATAGAATAGCAGAGGCAGGAGGGACTTTGTAGGTCACCAATCCAACTCTACCTCCTCTCTCTTAGAAGCGGCAATGCCTCCGTAAAAGGGACCCTATTTGGGTTTTTCCCGAGTAACACGGGCCTCTGGGTTCTTTTCGACAAGATCGTCGATCGTGTGAATCAGGTCCACCACATAAGCTTTTCCTTCGTTCTCTTCATCACATTTCAACGCCTCGAACTGATCGTGCCATTCAGTGAGATATTTCTTTGTCGTGACGTTTTGGACAGAGACGAAGTTTTCTAGAGTTTCGCCTCCCAGGGCCATCGTTCTATTGAACAGGACGATGAGGTTGCGGTGCGCTTTGCTCTGGAAAACATACTTGATGTACTTCCTGTACACCGTCTCGTCTGACTCGTGGCAAAATAAGCGAGCCACGTGGATAACGGCGAAGGGGCCTGGCTGACCACCCTTCATGACTTCCTTAAACCGAGCAAAATATGCTGACCAAGATGCAGGATCTGTTAAATCTGAAGCGGTATAGACGATGGGAACCTCTCTGCCCTTCCACAGGGTCTCTTCCCTTCGGGGTCTCCTCTGGGGTTCCATTTTGGAGACAAAACAATCATTTCTCATGATTGTTTTCCACCTGCTGCTTTCCCGATCTTCGGGATTTCCAACAAGGATAATTCTGAGCTCCACCTCTAGAATAGAGAAGGAGAGGGGAGAGAAGACAAAGGAATGATGGAGAAGAGAAGAAGAGGAATGATGGAGAAGGAGGGAGAGGAGAGGAATGATGGAGAAGTAGGGCAGGAGAGGAAAGGAATAATGGAGAAGGAGGAGAGGAATGATGGAGAAGAGAAGGACGAGAAGAGAGTGGAGGAGAAAGGAATGGAGAAGAGGAGAGGAGATGAAGGAATGATGGAGAGGAAAGGAATGATGGAGAAAAGGAAGAGGAGAAGAGAGTGGAGGAGAGAAAGGAATGGAGAAGAGATGAAGGAATGATGGAGAGGAAGGAGAGGAGAGGAATAATGGAGAAAGAGGAGTGTAATGATGGAGAAGAGAAGGAAGAGGAGAAGTGAAGGAGAGAAAGGAATGGTGGAGAAGAGAAGGAGAGGAGATGAAGGAATGATGGAGAGGAAGGAATGATGGAGAAGAGAAAAAGGAGAGAGGAGGGGAGGAGAGGAAGGAATGATGGACAGGAGAGGAATGATGGAGAAGAAGGAGAGGAGAGGAGGGGATGAGAGGGAAGCGAAGGGGAGGGGAAGTGTGGAGGTCATGTCCAGCCCCATGAGGTTATCGGTCATCTACTCTCAGTGTGTGTGTGTGGGGAAAGCCCAAGATCACAAGGGAAGCCAGACACGGTGCAACAGGACCACGCACACACGGCCCCCATCAGCCACATTTCAGGCCGTCGCTTGAGCGTGAGCGCCATCCTCCCACAACCTGGGCAATCCACCCACCCAAACTCTGTTTCGGATTCCAGACAGAATTGAACTATGCAGAAATGGACCCCAGCAGACTCCTGAGCCCTGTCAAAGTCATGTGATTGACAGCCAGGGCTCAGGGGCTCCCCCTCAGAGAGGAGGACACCAGCAAAGTATGGCATGGGAGTGGCCATCTTGACCTCTTTGACCTCCCCACTGTCGTGATTCCGACAGATGAAACTCTTCGAAATAACTTCGAGGTACTGCTTACCTTATTCGAGAAACAAAGTATCAGCAGTACACAATCAAAACCCAAAACTAAATTCCCCTCCCCTGGGTACAAAGTTGCAAAGCACAATTCCCTCCAATAAACTGTCATAAATCACATTCCCCAATTACCGGTAGTTTAAAGCGAGGGCTTTCTCCCCAGCTCTCCAGCCAGCCAAAACTCTATCAACTCTGGGCCCAATAACCTTGGGTTCCCAGGCTGAGTTATTATTGTTATGATTACCTGGACTCTCATCCACATTCCCCCCTCCCAGTATCAACTAACTCTAAAAGCAAAAGAGAAAAGATGGCTGCATTTCCATCTGTTGTCAAAGCAAGAACAGCCGATGTTAGCAGCGTTGACACCCACTTGGGGCCCTGTATTCCCAATCTGATAGTTTTACCGTCGTCCTCAGGCCATGGTGGAATGGGGATGCAACTTTCCTGCTCCTCTTCTCGGGGTCCTGGATGGGGAGGGGGGGGGAAAGAAACACAAAAATTCAGCATCTGCCCCACACTTGAGGGGAATCCGGACTCTACCTGCCAGCAGACCTGGATCCTCTGTGCGTTTAACTGGGAGCGATCGAGAATTTACAATTCTTAACTATTTACCATTTTTCCATACCCTTTCCCAACCACTACGAGGCGAGAAGTGATTCCGTGGCAAAAGGATTTGCCGGTGATGTCACTGTTGCCCAGGGGACACCCAGTTGGGGGCTCTTTTGGTGTCCCTATGAATTGCCCCACCAAAGTGGTACCCATTTATTTACTTGCGGTCGCTCGCTTTCGAACCGCTAGGTCGGCAGGAGCTAGAGCGTACGATGGGAGCTCAACCTGCCCTACGGCAGCAACGGGTCTCGAAAGCGAGTCTGCCAATTGTGCGTTCTAACCTCATGAGCCACCACACTCCTAGTATACACCTAGGTGAACGTCATTCCTTTTTTCCTTTTATGCATTCACAAAAATTTTCATCCTTGGTTTTGGGCATTTCTGCAGAGGTGTGGTGATTTCTTACCTATAACACAACTCCACCTCCTCTCTTGTTAGGTCTTTATCTTTTGAAGAGTTGATATCCTTCCAGCAGGACATTCCAGCCGTGAGTTTCATCCCACCAAGTTTTGGCAATGGCAACAATGTCACACCTGCCCTCGTGTACTAGCGCTTCACAGTCACCCTGTGTGTTCCTCAAACGTTGAGCCTTCGTGTTTAGGCTTCTGAGTCTTTTTCAATGGACGCCGTGTTTGCTTCCTGTGTCCTCTGTATTGCATCCGAGTTCCCCTTTCTTTCCACCAGGCCCTCCTTCAATTTTGGGGTTTCTGGCGATTGATGTTTGGGATTAAGTCCTAAACATCCTAAAGATTGCTCGTCCTCCCCCTTCAGTTTTTTTAAAGATCTTGGAATGGCCCAGAATCTTACCTGTTTTCCGATGACGGGGTCCTTCTACTTCCGCACGTCTCTCTCCTTGAAGATGAAACTCCTGCAGAGACAGACAAAAAAAATAGGCAGACCGCAAAAAGAATGGCGGAAACTCTTGAGTTACTTCGGCCGTCTCCCGGTTGGCCAATAGCCCTCACCCTGGTCTTCTCCTTCCTCTGCCTTCCCTTTCTTTCTCTCCCTTCTCTCTACTTCTCTCTTTTGCCTCTCCCTTCCCTCCATTCTGCCTCTCCCTTCCTCCCCCTTCTCTCCCTTCCCTCTCTCCCTTCTCTCCCCCTTCCCTCTTCCTCTCCCATCTCTCTCTCTCCTTTCCCTCTACTTCTCCCTTCTGCCTTCCCTTTCTTTTCTTCCTCTCCCCTCTCTACCTTCTGCCTCTCCCTTCCCTCTTCATTGTGCCTCTCCCTTCCTCCCCCTTCTGTCTCCCCCTTCCCTCTCCCTTCCCTTCCCTTCTGCCTCTGCCTTCCCTTTCTTTTCTTCCTCTCCCTTCAATCTACTTCTCCCTTCTGCCTCTCCCTTCCCTCTCCATTCTGCCTCTCCCTTCCTCCCCCTGTCTCTCCCTTCCCTCTCCCTCTCCCTTCTGTCTCTCCTTTCCCTCTTCCTCTCCCTTCTCTCCTTTCCCTCTCCTTCTGCCTCTGCCTTCCCTTTCTTTTCTTCCTCTTCCTTTTCTCTTTCCCTTCTCTCTACTTCTCCCTTCTGCCTCTCCCTTCCCTCTCCATCTCCCTCTGTCTTCCTTTCCCTTCTCTCTCCCTTCCCTCTCCTTCTCCCTTCTGCCTCTCCCTCTCTCCCTTCTCCTTTCCCTTCACTCTCCCTCTCAACTTCTTTTCCCTCTCCCTCTCCTCTCCCTTCCTTCTTTCCCCTTCATTTCCTTTCCCTCCCTCCCCAGTGACCTTTCTTACTTTCTCAGGAGGGCTGCTGGGAAGAGTCTTTGCGGGGGCAGTCGTATCACTGAATTTACTAAGGCCAAGCTTGCAACAGGCAGCATACTGGATCTGGTACTTAGTATTTGGAAGAAGGTCATTCAGCAGGAACGTCTCCCGGGTATCCTCTGTCCTCACGGTCTTCCAGTTTTCTTTCCCTGCAACCTTGTACTCTACCAGGTAGCTGGAGATGGCAGCCTTTCCATATTCAGCTGGCTGAAACTTCAGCCGAATGCTGTTGTGTCTCACTTCAGTAATCAGGAAAGGGAGAGGCTTTGAGGGCAACTCAAAGTTCTTGCTGACCAGCTTTCCGTCTTCATAAAGGTAAATGGAGGCTCCTGGGGTCTCCACATCTGGGAGTGAGGCCACGACAAAGCGGAACGTCTCATTTGATTGATTAGCACTGAAAAAGTCTTGGATGGATTTGGCCGCTTGGCGAGCCTTCTGGGTCCTCTCCTGGTCCTCAAACCAGGCCATGCCCTTCTTCATCCCAGGAGTGGACCTTGTGGACTTAGCTGATCCTGGCATGAATTGCTCCCAAAGCCAGTCCTGTAAGGTGAACAGAAACGGCTCCTCTTCGTGTAAAGAAGTGAAGATAAAGATGACCACGTATCCATTTGAGGAGTCCAGAACGATTTCCTCCAACATGTTCTGAGATGAGATGACGTCTATGTCTTCGAGAATCGTCAGATAAGATTTGACAAAGTTAATTTCTCTTTTCTTGGTGTCGAGAAATTCACGGAGTCTTCGGCCGTTGAAGGGCGACTGGTTGACGGACGTCAAGAGGTCCACCAGGGTCCCTTCCTCCTGTCCTCCTCCCCGGATGGAAGGCAACACTCTGGCCAGCTGTTTCTGGAAAGTCTGCCTGTGTTGCTTTAACAGATCCTTGAACTGCTGGATCTTCTCTTTGATCTCAGGGAAGCTCTCAGCAACGGGATTGTTGGCCAGATCGTTGCTTTGCATCTGGATCTCGTCCAGTTCCTCTAAGACCTTTTCAACATCAAAGATCAACGCTAGGCTGATCTCACGGACCATCTTAGCGGCTTTGGTGTCCAGTTTGGTCAGCGGGAATAGCCAAACCCGCACGGGCACGGCCTTCTCCCCACATTCCCCTAACATTTTCGGCAGAGTTGCGTAAACTTGCACGGCATCTTGGACGGTGACCGGATTCCTCTCCAGAGAAAAGTCTCCATGGAACTTGCAACTGAACTTCAGAATGTTCTCCGTCTCCTCCTTGTTCAGCTCGACCGCTGCTTTTCCTCCGACCGAGATCATCTTCTTGATGGTAGCCTGGAGTTTTCCTTTGATACTTTTGACTATCTCTGTGGAAGAAACTTCTCGGTCAAAGACGAAGAAGGCCTGGGCTCCGTAGAGGATGGCGGTGACCACGTGGGTGGCCATACCCTGCTCAAAGATGGCTGGGTGAGAAATATTCTGGATTCCAAGGTGGCTCATGGTGAGCTGCTCGTACCTGGTGGTGGCTTTGTACTGGACAGTGACTCTGGCCTGTTGCTTGGACTTCTTGGTGTCTTGAAGATACTTGGCCGAGCCTCCCACTTCAACCAGCCCCCCCAGGAAGCTGGCCTTGAGGTTTGCTGAGATGTCCAGGGCGGAGGCCTTGTCGTCAATGGCGTCGGACGCAAGGATTTCCGATTCGGTCTTGGGCTGAGGTTTGATGGTCAGGTCCTTCTGCAGAGAGCAGTGGTCCCAGAGGGTGATTCCTGCGTGGAACAGGAGAAGACAGGCAGATAAATCAGAAACTTGAGATGTCCAGAATATATGAAAGAAACCTCTCCTCCAGTCTGCTGGGACACGGGAAACCAAGAGTCGCCTCGTTTATTTTGTCCGGCCGTAAACAGGTGAACCTCCCGCCTGTTTTGGAAAACCCCAAAGCCTTTTAGCTGAGTAGAGAGGAACAGAAATTGCCACGCATCTACTGATTTCAAAAAAATATCTTCTTCCAACTCCCTGGAGAAACCATGTTTTTCATGAGGGGTTCAGAGGGGGGGGTCTTCTGCGAACAGACCTGCCCCCCCCCAGGAAAGGCACCAGCACCCCAACTTGGGAATTAAAACCCTTCAATTCACAACTCTGGGACGGGGAAACCACAGCTGCCTTTTATTTTAGCCATTTTTCAAACGGTTTTTAGTGACGTATTGAGTCACTAAAGATGGTGAGACATTGGAGAAAATGCAGAGAAGAGCAACTGAAACGATTAAAAGCCTGGAGACTAAAACATATGAAGAACGGTTCAGGATTTGGGTTTTGGCCCGTCTAGAGAAAAGAAGGACTGGGGTGGGGGGAACATGATAGCTGTTAGTATTTGAGGGGCTGCCACAAAGAAGAGGAGGGGGTCAACTTATTCAGGGCTTTTCAACCAGTGGTCCTACCTGGGATCAGGGCATCCTTGCGGCAGTCGTACAGCATCCCCAGCTGGAAGGGGCGGCCGAGCGCTGGAATCTCCATGACGTCCTCGGCCAGGGCCATGCTGGGCTCCTGCGTGTCGCTGGCGCTTCCGGTGCCCTGCGAGAGAGAAGAACCATCGGGAGGAGGCAGAGACTGACCGATGCCTCTGGGGCAGAGTGCTGGGGGACAGGGCACAACCGTTCCTGAACCCCCCTTCACTAGGTGTGTGTCTCCCTCTCCCGTATCAGATAACTATTACACAAGAAAGGGCCATTGGCTCCACCGCTCCAAAGGACACCCCCCCCCCTATAGATTCAGCCTCGGAATAAAGAGACATTTCCTGACAGTGAGAACAATCAACCGATGGAACGGAAGTTGCCTTCAGATGTTGTGGGAGCTTCCCTCTCTGGAGGCTTTCCAGAAGAGACTGGGCTGCCCTCTGTCCGAAATGGTGTAGGGTCTCCTGCTTGGGACTAGATGACCTCCAAGGTCTCTTCCAATTCTATTCTATTCTATTCTATTCTATTCTATTCTATTCTATTCTATTCTATTCTATTCTATTCTATTCTATTCTATTCTATGCTGTTCTATTATTCTATTCTAATTCCATTCCATATTTTCTATTCTATTCTATTCTATTCTATTCTATTCTATTCTATTCTATTCTATTCTATTCTATTCTATTCTATGTTCTATTCTATGCTGTTCTATTCTATTCTATTCTATTCTATTCTATTCTATTCTATTCTATTCTATATTCTCTTCTCTTCTCTTCTATTCTTATTCTATTCTATATTCTCTTCTGTTCTTATTTCTTATTCTATTCTATTCTATTCTATTCTATTCTATTCTATACTGTTCTATTCTATGCTGTTCTATTCTGTTCTTATTCTACATTCCTCTATTCCATTCTATTCCATTCCGTTCTGTTCCATTTTGTATTCTATTCTATTCTATTATTCTATTCTATTCTATTCTATTCCCTATTCTGTTCTGTTCTATTTTCTCTTCTCTTCTGTATTCTATTCTATTCTATTCTATTCTATTCTATTCTATTCTATTCTATTCTATTCTATTCCCTATTCTATTCTATTCTATTCTATTCTATTCTATTCTATGCTGTTCTATTCTATTCTATGCTGTTCTATTCTATTCTTATTCTACATTCCTCTATTCCATTCTATTCCATTCCGTTCTGTTCCATTTTGTATTCTATTCTATTCTATTCTATTCTATTATTCTATTCTATTCTATTCTATTCTATTCTATTCTATTCTATTCTATTCTATTCTATTCTATTCTATTCCCTGTTCTGTTCTGTTCTGTTCTGTTCTATTTTCTCTTCTATTCTGTATTCTGTATTCTATTCTATTCTATTCTATTCCCTATTCTATTCTATTCTATTCTATGCTGTTCTATTCTATTCTATGCTGTTCTATTCTATTCTATGCTGTTCTGTTCTATTCTTATTCTACATTCCTCTATTCCATTCCGTTCCGTTCCGTTCTGTTCCATTTTCTATTCTATTCTATTCTATTCTATTCTATTCTATTCTATTCTATTCTCTATTATTTTCTAATTTTCTATTCTATATTCTTTTCTATTTTCTATTATTTTCTATTCTATGTTCTATTCAATTCTCTATTCCATTTTTCCTCTCCTCTCCCATCCCCTCTCCCAGACCCCCAAATGCTGCAGGCCGCCTCCATTGCTGCCACAATTTTTGTGGGACAAACAGGGTGAATTGGGACACCCAAAAGGCATACAGTGGGCAGGGCCACCCTTCACCCACTGTCAGTGGACAAGTTTCCTGCTGGGAAGAGTTGCCCGTCATGGGTTGGGTGAGCAAGGGCCCTCTGCACGGAACTGGGGGCGGGGGGGGGCAGAGGCACCTGTGTAGTGGGATAAGAGAAGAACAGAGTTGGAAGGGACCTTGGAGGTCTTCTAGTCCAGCCCCCTGCTCAAGCAGGAAAGCTATCCCATTTCAGACCAGTCCTCAAACAGGAAGGAGCTTCAGAAACAGTGAGGAAGCCGAGGGAAAATTCGCTTTAAATTATTTACGGCCTTGGCAACTTTCAGCTGTGTGGACTTCGACTTCCTGGCTGAGGAATGCTGGGAGTTGAAGTCCAGAGGCAGCTTCAGGTTGCCCAGGCTGAGAAACCCTGGAGGGTTACCCAAATAAGGAAGGAAACTTTCCAGAAGAAACAATGGACAAAAGGCCAAGTTCAGAGAAGGGGGAGAATCCGAGACGGCAAATCCTTCAAGATTCCCAGCCTTCAAAGACGTTGAGATCCAGAGGGAGAAAAAAGGGAAGATTTCATTGCAACCAAAATCCCTTTTGACTCAGCAGGAGACATTCCTGTTTCTTGGCCGCAAGAGGACTGATTCGTTCTGGGCCTCAACTGGGGGGGACTCCAGGTCCCCACAGTGGCGGAGGTTGGTCAGAGCTGTCCAGGCTGTGGACAATGGGCTCTGTTTTCTCCCTGAGCAGGAAGTAGCCAGTTTTGACACCCGTCGCAAATTTGCAGGCTGTTTCTTCTGCGCCGCAAAAAAAACGACAGGAGGCCTGAACTCAAGAAGGAAGTCCTACCTGGAGAGCTTCCAACCTCTCCGAACTTAGCCAAGCTCGGGAGAGGCTTTGGGGGGGAAGGCCGGGCGCCTGATCCCAAGCAGACCAGGCACAAAAGGGATTCCCAGCCCTGGAGGTTCCCAGCCCTGCTTTTGTGACTTCTGGATTAAAACTGGTCCCTGCAAAAGAAGGAGAGAGAGAAATCCGAGAGCATCGGAATTCATCTGTTTACAAGAAGGCCCCACCTGGAATTCCTGGGGGCAGGATCAAAATCCGGGGGGGGGGCTTGGTGGGGGGGGAGGTGAGGTTTGCCACCACAGGAGCTCTTCAACTCCCCCCTCCCACTGGGGGCTGAGAGACTTGACCACACAAGACTGGCCTTCTCCCTCTCTCCCACTGACTCTCTCTCTCTATATGCTCCTCCCTCCCACAAACCAGGGTCTCTCTGGTCCTCTCTCCCACACACCTGGGACCCCTTACCTTCACCTCCCTCTTCAGCTGCTGCCTAAGAGGCTGAATCCAGGCTGGGCTAGGACCTGGTTGTCTCTAATTTCCACTTTCGCTTTCACTCAAGAGAAAATGCACAGGGTTGGAAGGCAGCTCAGGTGTTCTGGCTGACCGCTTCTCCATCTTCATAAACGGGGAGGGAGGGAGGCTGCTAGTGGAAAGACACACACACACACACACACACACACACACACACACAGATTCAGGGAGGCCAACACCCCACAGATTCACAGCCTCCAGCGTGGCGTTTCTCAAGCTTGGCTTCCCAGCATGCCCCAGCCAGTGTGTTGAGAAGCACTGATCTGTCTCACTCCATGCATCCATGCGTACTCTCCCACCCCATCCCTCCATCCATCTGCCCTTCCATCTGTCCGTCTGTCCATCCATGCAAAGGAGTTTCTCATTGTTTGCATCTTGCAGATGGGTAGACTGCGACTCCCCGAATCCTTCAGCCGGCATGTTGGGAAGCTCTGATCTCTTTCTCTCCATCGCTCCCTTTCTCCCCTCCCGCCTTCCATCCCTCCATGTTTCCAATCCCTCCATCTTTCCAATCCACCCACCCACCCATCCATCTTTCCAATGCATCATCCATCTTTCCAATCCATCCATCATCCATCCCTTTCCAACCCATCATCCATCTATCCATCCATCCATCTTTCCAATCCATCCATTCATCATCCATCCATTCATCCCTCCATCTTTCCAATCCATCATCCATCCATCCATCCATCCATCCTTCCAATCCATACATCATCCACCCATCATTCATCCATGCATCCATCTTTCCAATCCATCCATCATCCAGCCATTCATCCATCATCCACCCATCCATCCCTTTCCAATCCATCCATCCATCTTTCCAGTCCGTCCACCCATTCATTCATCCATGCATCCATTTTTCCAATCCATTCATCCATCATCCATCATCCAGCCATCCATCCCTTTCCAATCCATCCATCCATCCAATCCATCCATCCATCTTTCCAGTCCGTCCGTCCATCCATCCATCCATCCATCCATCTTTCCAATCCATCCATCCACCTTTCCAATCCATCCATCCATCCATTCATCCATCTTTCCAATCAATCCATCCATCCATCTTTCCAATCCATCCACCCAGCCAGCCAGCCGTTTCTCATCCTTGGCAACTTGCAAGTGGCTGGACTTCAATTCCCAGAATTCTCCAGCCAGTGTGTTGAGAAGCTCTGATTTCTTTTTCTCCCTCCCTCCCTCCCTTCCTCCCTCCCTCCCTCCCATCTATCCATCCCTCCATTTTTCCAATCCACCCATCCGTGCTTTTTTTAATAATATTTTATTAATTTTCCAATTTTACATTTGAATATTTAAAAAGCAACGTGGTGACTGGGTTACCATAGTTCAATATCAAAATCTTAGTGCAAATCTCAGGTTACAACATCAAATATTTCTTCTCTTTTTCCCTTAACATTTACTGTCTCATATTCAGGTTAGTAACATTTCTAATATTCCAATTTAACCTTTGATATTTATCATTTTCAGACTTTGGGTAACCAAAATTTCCCTTCTTTCATTTTATAACAAACTATAATATCCAAAATACATATTTTATCTATTTGAATATTGTTATATTTCCTAAGAGTTATCTATTTCCCATCATATTAAATCATCTACTTAATAACACAATATCCCCTTTAATAAATCAAAACCATTATATATATATATATTGCCTGGGTTAATCAATAAATCAAACATATTCATATTTCATTTTATCCATCCGTTTCTCATCCTTGGCAACTTGCAAGTGGCTGGACTTCAACTCCCAGAATTCCCCAGCCAGCACATTGAGTAGCTTTGATCTCTTTTTCTCCCTCCGATTCTCCATCTTTCCCATCCATCCAGCCTTCCTTTCTTCCCACCTTTTTTCTTCTCTGTCTTCTGCCTGCTGTTTAATTTACCTCAGGATCTTCCTATGTTCCACACTGTCTTGTCTGTTCATGCACGAGGCGATCTGCGCTGTGATTGGTTGCCTTAATTATAAAGGGGGCGTTTCCCTCCCCCCCCCCGCCTTTTTTCTTCTCTGTGTTCTTCCTGCTGTTTAATTTACCTCAGGATCTTCCTGTGTTCCCCACTGTCTTGTGTTTTCTCCTTTCTGGATGATGACAAAGACTCTTGTAAGTTTGAACATTAAATATTATTTATATATACACATGTAAAAGACAACAGGTTTGTGTTAGTCTCTCCGACTTCACCTGGACTGCTGCTGTGCAATTTTACCTCAGGGTGTTCCTGTGCTCCTGACTATTTTGTGTTTTTTTTCTTTCTGGATGATGGCAAAAGTAAGTTTGAATGTTAAACGTATTTATGTACATATACTAAAGGCTAGCTGTTTCTCATCCTTGGGAACTTGAAAATGGGTGGACTTCAACTCCCAGCATGCCCCAGCCAGCATGTCGAGAAGCTCTGATCTCTTTCTCTCTCTCCCTCCATTCATCCATCCATCCGTTTCTCATTGATGGCCATTTGAAAATGGGTGGACTTCAACTCCCAGCATGCCCCAGCCAGCATGTTGAGAAGCTCTGATCTCTTTCTCTCCCTCCCTCCCTCCCTCCTTCCAGCTGTTTTTCATTCTTGGCCCCTTGAAAATGGGTGGACTTCAACTCCCAGCATGCCCCAGCCAGAATGTTGAGAAGCTCTGATCTCCCTCCCTCCCTCCCATTCATTCATTCATCCATCCATCCACCCACCCACCGACCGACCCACCCATTCTTCCATCCATCTCTCCAATCCATCCATCAACCCACCCACCCATCCAGCTGTTTCTCATTCTTGGCAACTTGCAAGTGGGTGGACTTCAACTCGCAGAATTCTCCAGCCATAACTGTTAAATATATTTATATACATATATAAAAGACTACAGGTAGTCCTCGACTTTCTAACAGTTCTCTTAGTGACTGAAGTTATAAGGACACTGAAAAAAGTGACTGATGACCATTTTTCACAGTTAGGAGCTTTGTAGCAATGCAAGAAGGAAAGAGAAATGAAAAGCATTGGAATCAACCTTCTTACAACAAGGAAGAAGGGCCCACGTGGAATTCCTTGGGGCAAGATCAAAATCGGGGGGGGCTCAGGAGGGGGGGGTGAGGTTTGCCACCAAAAGCTCTGCAACACCACCACCCCCGCTCTCCCACTGCGGGCCGAGGGGCTTGACCGCACAAGACTTTTCTCCCCCTTTACCCTCCAGAGAAGGCAGGCCTTCTCCCTCCCTCCCACTGTATATCTCTTTCCCTTCTTCCATCCATCTATCCATCCCCATACTTCCTCCCTCCCTCCCTTCCCGTCTCCTTCCTTTCTTCCATCCCTCCCTCCCCACACCTCCTTCCTCCCTCCCTTCCCCATTTATCTCCCTCCCTTTTTTCCTTCCTCCCTCCCTCCCACCATCTTTCCCTTTTTCCATCCATCCATCCATCCCCCATACTTCCTTTCTCTCTCCCTCCCCGTCTCCTTCCTTTCTTCCATCCCTCCCTCCCCATCCCTCCTTCCTTCCACATATATCTCTTCCCTCCCTCCCTCATTCCCTTCTTCCATCCATCCATCCCCCATACTTCCTCCCTCCCTCCCCTATGTCTCCTTCCTTTCTTCCATCCCTCCCTCCCATCTCCTTTCTTCCTTCATTCCACCCTTCCCCATATATCTCCCTTCCTCCCTCCCTTCCACCATATATATCTTTCCCTTCTTCCATCCATCTATCCATCTAACAGCTTCTGGAGGCAGGTCGTTCCACTGATTAATTGTTCTAACTGTCAGGAAGTTTCTCCTTAGTTTCAGGTTGCTTCTCTCTTTGGTTAGTTTCCATCCGTTGCTTTTTGTCCTGCCTTCAGGTGCTTTGGAGAAGAGGTTGACAAATCCGAACGTCCTGCTGCAAATTTGGCTGGTGGACATGTGTCCTTCTTCCTCTTGCTTGACCAGGAGACCAGAAGCAAGTCTGTGAAGAGAAGCATCTGGAGTGGAGCTGACGGACACTAAGAGATGGGAAGGACCCAACAGGAGCCTGATTTCCACAGACCCCCTTCTCGGACCCTGTGTGAAAAGCTACGGGGGATACCCTGCGTTCTGTCCCGACCTTCGAGTATAATCTGACATGAATTCTATGTCCCCCTCCTCCAGGACAATTGGACAACATCCCCCTTCCCCTCTGCCTTTGGATCACATTGCAGACAGAACTGGTTAGGCTGAGATTAGTCCTCCTGATACACACACACACACACACACACACACACACAAGACACTGACACTTTTGTAAGGAAAGAGGAGATTTAATAAGAAGGTCTCTGATTGAAACAGTCATGACTGCCCTAGTGAGTCCAGGTGTTGCCTCTGGAAGGTGGTGTAGAGCAGCGCCCCCCAACCTTTTGGACACCAGGGACCAGTTCCGTGGAAGGCGTTTTTTCCATGGAGCAGGGGGCCCTGGTTTTACATGCTGCTTGGATCCCACCCATGCAGGAATGGGGCTTTGGCCATTTGCGCAGCCCAGTTCCTGGTGGACCATCAATCGGTATCAGTCCACAGCCCACGAGTTGGGGAACCCTGATGTAGAGGAGTCCAGACGCAGCCTTGCAGAAAATATGTGGCAGCTGTTAGGAAAACACAAGTTCACTCCAGGAAAACAGGAAGGGGTGAGAAAGAAGCTCAAGGCTGCCCTGGCTTGATGCTCTTTGGTGCCAGAAGAAGTGAAGGGGAGATGCTCTCCAGATTCTCCTGCGATAATCTCTCCCAGTAAAGTTGAGCTCTAACATTTCTTGTGTTGTTGGCTTCCCGGCCTGGTCTACCTCGAAGGACAGACAGGTGGGAAGCCCCAAAGAGCTGGTCCTCCCTAAGGGACATGGGTCCAGGATGGGAGAGAATTAGGCTGTGGGACCTACTGATACTAGGAAGGGTGGGCAGGATCTTCCCGTGCCCTTGAAGAAAGTCCTGTCATCCAAGGGGAGGAAGCGGGTTCTCGAGAGAAGGAATTGGCTGAGTGGAACTCAGCCGCGAATCTCTGGCTTGGGGTCTTCAGAGGTCACATGGCAAGGGCTGGATTAGAACACAGAACGGAAGGGCTGTGGCCTTTGGCAGAGTTGCCACCTTGGGAGCCGAGGCTCAATTAAAGAGACTTTCTAGCCTCTGTTGGAAAGGGAAAAAAAACCAGAACTTGTGTCTTTTGTTGAACTTCATCATCTCTTCCGTGTAACAAGGAGCATCTCCGTTCGTTTCCACCAGACGATCAATCATGGTCATCAGTTCGGTCACCTGAGCCTCTCGTTCCGCGCCTTTGGCCCAGTTGTTGAAAGCCAGGAACCGGTTGCCACATTCAGCAGCATATTCCTTCAGGTTTTTATTACATACAGCTATGAAATTTTTAAGAGATGTACCTTCCAGATCCTCTTTGTGAGTGAACAAAAGGATGATGTAATTTTTGGCTTTAAGGCCAAAAATCTCTTTGATCAGCTGAGCCGCCCCCTGCTCCTCCTGGCTGAAACAACCAGGACGTATCACATGCAGAATGACGTGGGGACCCGGGGAGCAAAACTTCACGCAGTTTCTCACTTCTGCAGCAATATCCTTCTGTGGATGACTGGTATTGAAAAAGCCAGGGGTATCAACAACCACAACCTTCCTTCCGTTCAGCTGTGTGTCCTCCTTTTGACATGCTTTTGTTATTGATATATGTGACATCCTACTTTTAAAGACTTTGCTTCCCAGAATTGTGTTTCCTGTTGCACTTTTCCCATTTCCGGTTTTGCCCACAAGGACGATCCTCCGTTCGGGCCCTACAACAAAAGGCGAGAGGAGAGAAGAAGGGGACTGGTCAGCAGTGTACGACCGTCATAGCCTGCCCCCCCACCCAGAACAGTAGCTTCCGCCCCACCTGAACCCCAGGACCCAAGACTTTACCTTGGATGCTTACAGTCATATGCAGACCAGTCGCACAGCACGTAACCTGAGATTTCTGCATGAAAAGCAAAACAGAATCAGCCAACGGAGAGGCTGCCTTGCTCAGAGGTTGCCAGGAACTCTCTTCCCCCAGAAGTCAAACAAGAGTTGGAGGGGGATTAAAAAAGGACCACCCCCTCCTCAGTGCTCTTGAGGCTGATCTTGCCCTCCAGCAACCTTGCCGGACTCAAGCAGCTCTGACTCTTCTCCACCCCCAACGTAGCTGACTTGGATCAGACCTGCCCACCCTCCAGCAGGTTCCCCGAGTGGTCTTCCCACTCAGCCCTGTTCCTGTTTATGACATCCCACAGGATGGACCTCACACTTGTAGTAGCTCCCTCCATCCTCCAAAACGGTCCTCAGCCACCGGCACTGTCTTCATCAGGTCAGAGACCAGTCTCTTCCGCTCGGCTCCCGTGGCCTCGTGCATCGTGTCTGACTCACTTTGCAAACCTTACTCACCACCAGACAACAAAAACTAGGCAAGGGGGAAGGGGATGATTGGAATTGATGGGTGGCTGGGAGGGTATTCTGATCCTGAGTTAAAACGCCTTTGTAAATCAGATCAGATAACAAAAACATATTTAATCAGAAAGATTACTTGCATTCATGACGGTTGCCTCTGATAATACATCTCTGTTCAACCCTATAGGTGAAAGAATGAAGCTCTCTCCATACCATCTTTATAGCGGAACAGGGTCATCGGGTGACATCTGATGGCCCATGCTCCTCTTTAGACAAAGACATTCCAATCTGGCTTGTGTCCAGGAAGTCTCCCAATGCCCTTTAGAAACTCCTCCCACTGACCCATTAACATGGGATGACTGACTAGCTAAACTACATTTCCCATAACCCATCTCTTAAGGAAACAGCACTTAACTCAATAAATGCCAGATATTCTAACATACAGATACATGCTCTCTAGTTAGGGTTACATAGAGTTATATGATCCAGAACCGAGGGGAATGAGGAATTTATGTGCACAGACTGTGGACTGAGAAAGTTTCCAGCACCTCAACCTGTTTCCCAAAACAATGATTGAACTGGATTGGTGGACAACCGACAATGGGTGGCCCGGGGAGGAAAGGGGGGATTATTGCTGTGCTGCTTTTAATGGCAAAACCTGAAAATTAGCTTTGCTTCTACTGTTCCTATATAGATCTATCAGGAAACTTAAACTCTTGGTAAAAGACTGTCCCTGGAGTTTCTTTACTGCATATGCCAAAAATCTTCAAAATCTCCAGTGACGAGCACCCAAAACTGGTATCAGCCTATTCTACTGCCTCCTCATCCTCCTCCTCCTCCCCTTTTCCTCCAAAGAAGGTGTCAAGTTACCTCTGCAGGCTTCCCCCTGGGATAGATGCAAGTGATCTCCTCGCTCCATTGACCGAGCCCAAATTCAGTCACAGCTGCACATCGGAATTGGTATTGAAGATTTAGTTGGACATCCTCCAGGATGAATTGATCTTTAGGGCCTTCAGTATGGAGACTCTTCCAATCCTGGCCTGCAATCCGATATTCCACCTGGTACCTGGAGACTGAAGGCTTCCCAATGGCTACTGGATCAATACCGATCTGGAAACTATTTGGGTGCACTTGCTCAATCTTGGGAGGGGGAGGTCTTCTAAGAGCAGCTTCCAGCTCCTGACGTTTCTTGAGGACCTCCATGGTCAAGGTTAAACTTTTGGTTTCCAGCAACATTAGCGAGTCAAAGAAATTCTTCATGCTCTCGGCGCTCATTTTCCAGTATATTTCAGCAGCAGCATTATGGATTCCTCCACCTTCTCCGTGAGTAAAAAGGGATGAATGGTTGAATCTGAAGTGCAGAGGGGTTCCCAACTTGTCCCGATCACAAGGCAGGTCAGCCTTCTTGAGGGCCTCCAGGACAGGTGGGGTTCCCCCATCAGCAAAGGTGATCAGGAGCTGGATGTTATCCTCGACGTCTTTTCCCAACAGAGAGAGCATGGAATCAAAGACACATTTCTGGGTATGAATTGAATTGGGAAGGAAGGCCTGTGCCACCAAGCAGATGGCATCAATGTGGTCAATGGCCCCTGGGCTGGAGAAAAATTCTCGGAGCTGCTCCTCAACCAGTTTGTCTTGCTCTGCGTCTCTTGTGCCTCCAAATCCTGGAGTGTCAATGATTGTGAGAGAATAGGGAATCCAGAACCCCTCCTGATGGTGCACCACATAGACAGTGACTTCAGACGTCCTGCTTCCAGCTTCGCTTCTCTGGGTGGTTTCATGCATCAGTTTGAATCTGAAATTATCACCCCACTGGACACCCAGAATATAATTGATCATCCCGTTGATCAGAGTGGTTTTCCCAGACTGTGTTGCTCCCATCACCAGGATCACTTTGTTGGGCACTTCTGGGTTCTTTTTTCCAAGCTGGTATATGAGACAGGAGATGGAGGCATCTGAGGGGACTTTCTCTAGAGGAAGGGCGAACACTAACGGATGTCTGCCTTCCACCAGGGAGCTTTCCTGAAGGAACCGGCGTGCTATGTTTCTTGCATCTTCTTCCTCCAGTGATGTGGAGACTTCCACCTCCTCACTGGGGACACCCAGATCTCCATTGTCACACACGGCTGACGCCCGTATTCTATATGCCGTTTGGGGCTTCAGACCTTCGATGGAGTAAAACTCTGTTTTTCTCCCAGTCCTTTCCCCAGTCCACTCCTTCCCAGCTCCAGCCTCTACCATTCTGTACTCTACTTTGTATTCCTTAACCACAACTCCTGAGACAACAGTGCTGGGATTCATCCAGGCCACAGAGATGACAGAAGATGCTGCAGTGACCTTTCTTAATTTCTCAGGAGGGCTGGTGGAAAGTGTCTTTATGGGTGGGCTCAGGTCACTGGATTTACTAAATCCAAGCTTGCAACAAGCAGCATACTGGAACTGGTACTCTGTGTTTGATGGCAGATTTTTCAAAAGGAACATCTCCTGGGCGTCCTCTATCCTCACGGTTTTCCAGTTTTCTTCCCCTGCAATCTTATACTTTACCAGATAGCTGGAGATGGCAGCCTTTCCGTATTCAGCTGGCTGAAACTTCAGCTGAATGCTGTTAGGTCTTAGTTCAGTAATCACCAAAGGGAGAGGTTTTGAGGGCAACTCAAAGTTCTTGCTGACCAGCTTTCCGTCTTCATAAAGGTAAATGGAGGCTCCTGGGGTCTCCACATCTGGGAGTGAGGCCACGACAAAGCAGACCTTCTCATTCAATTGGTTGACACTGAAAAAGTCTTTCATGGATTTGGCAGCTTGGCGAGCATTGTGGGTCCTCTCCTGGTCCTCAAACCAGACCATGCTCTTTTTCACCTCAGGAGTGGACCTTGTGGACTTAGCTGATTCTTGTAAGAATCGTTCCTGAAGCTTCTCCTCTAAGCTCAAGAGAAATGGCTCCTCTTCATGTAAAGAAGTGAATACAAAGGAGACCACGTATAAATTTTGAGGGTCAAAAACTATTTCTTCCATCTTGTTCTGGGAAGAGATAACTTGTATTTCACTTAGAATAGTCAGATAAGATTTGACAAAGTTAATTTCTCTCTTTTTGGTGTCTAGAAATTCACTGAGTCTTTGCCTGTGGAAGGGTGACTCCTTGACGGACATCAAGATGTCCACCAGGGTCCCTTCCTCCTGCCTTCCACCACGGATGGAAGGCAACACTGTAGCCAGCTGTTTCTGGAAAGTCTGCCTGTGTTGCTTGCACAGATCCTTGAACTGCTGGATCTTCCTCTTGATCTCAGGGAAGGTCTCAGCAATGGGATCGTTGGCTAGATCGTTGCTTTGCATCTGAATTTCGTTGAGTTCCTCCAAGATCTTCTCAGCATCAAAGACCAATTCTAAGCTGATCTCACGGACCATCTTAGCTGCTTTGGTGTCGAGCTTGGTCAGTGGGTAGAGCCAGACCCGCATAGGAACAGCCTTCTCCCCATCTTTCCCTAACATATTTGGTAGAGTTTCGTAAACTTTCATGGCATCTTGGAAAGTGACTGGATTTTTCTCCAGAGAAAAATCTCCATGGAACTTGCAACTGAACTTCAGAGCATTCTCTTTCTCCTCATGATTTTGTTTGACTTCTGCTCCTCCTCTGATAGATAGTTCCTTCGTGAGTGTAACCTGGAGACTTCCTTCTATATTTTTTATCATCTCTGTTGAAGAAACTTCTCGGTCAAAGACGAAGAAAGCCTGGGCTCCATAGAGAATTGCAGTGACCACGTGGGTGGCCGTGCCATGCTCAAAGACTCCTGGATGGGAAACATTCTGGATTCCTAGATGGCTCATGGTCAGTTGTTCATACCTAGTGGTGGTTTTGTACTGAACGGTAACTCTGGCTTGTTGCTTGGACTTCTTGGTGTCATGAAGATACTTGGCTGACCCTCCCACGTCAACCAGCCCCACCAGGAAGCTGGCCTTGAGGGATCCTGAAATGTCCAGAGCATTGGCCTTGTCATCAATGCTGTCGGACGCAATGATTTCCGATTCGGTCTTGGGCTGAGGCTTGATGGTCAGGTCCTTCTGCAGAGAGCTGTAGTCCCAAAGGGTGACGCCTGCATGGAACAAGAGACTACAGGAAGATAAATGTGAAACGAGACCTCCGAAACACCTGGAGCTGGATAGAGAAGCCCCAGAGTGCTGAGACAATAGAGATATCATTTTTCCTGGATGGTGACCTCATTTGTTCTGCCTGGTCATCACCCAGCAGTTTTGCAAACTACCCGAAACTCAAAAGGCTTTTGACTGAGTAGAGAGGA